ATGACACTTTAAAATAAAATAAACCTTGTCAATAAGTGATAGCAAAAACTATTTTCATAAGTTTATAGTTTATGAGAATTAAAACTGGTAACAAATTTTTTTGTTGGAGAACTTAAATTAAATTTAATCATATTCAATGAGACAACATATCATATCCTATTAATTAATTTTATTTATTAAATTTGACATTTTATATTATTTAATTATGTCTATATGCAAGTATAAGAGAGAAATTTAATTTTTTTAAAACTGATGATTTTGTAACAACATAATATTATATATTGTAATAAAAAAAATAAATGATAAAATGGGTGATGCAATGGAAAGAGATAGAGAAAAATTTATTGTAAAATTTGCTATAAGAAAATAATAAAAGGTTGTTCACATCAACTGCATAGTATGACTGGTCTACTATGTTTAGTAATTAGTATTGACTGGCTGTGACCTCGTTGGTTTTAAGTGAGGTTTGTATTAATCATCAGTCATGGGCTTGTATATATCTCCTATGTATACCACTGCATTGAACTTATCTCAATTCAATTCATTCTTCGATTAGTTAATAAAGAGTTCTTTTCATTCAAATTACTACCATGCAAATTCTATTACAAACAGGTATCCATCTTCCATTCAAGAAATAGGGTACCATTTTCCTTTTAACAACGTTGAGCTTTAACCAGTACCAATTACTACCCATTAGTGGACTATGCACACAAAAGTCGCCTCTGTTTAAGTAAATTCCATCACCCAATGAACCCATAAAGTATCATTTTTTTAATTAGCCACTGACCAAAATTAATTCCATATGGCAGCAATGTTCCAATCCTTGAAAGATTTGGAACCAAACTATTTTCCCTTTCTAGAGTGATAGATATATTACTCCAACTCGCAAGAACAATAATGCTTCTCCCCCTTGCTGTTGTTCCACGTAGGAACTCCCTGTACTCTCTTTCAATTGCCTAGGTAATTTTCTGTGGGTAAGATAAAAATAAAGCTCTTATCTATATGGAGTTGGTTATCAATAATGTATTAATCTCACCGATTAGTATTTTAGTCAATGTGTAATATTTATTTTTGCTATTTTAATATCTCACATTTAATTTTTATGATACTTTTAACTAATAAATGTAAGTCTTTTATGTCACATTCGTATAAATAATATTGGGAATATATTGAAATGGTGACATAACTTTGATTTATATATTAAAGGTGGTCCAAATATTTGGTATCGGAAGTTTCTAAAGAAAGTTCAGAATAATCTTCCATTCACAGTCTTACTGTTTATATTAAAAATTGTAGATAGTAAACAAAAAAATTTAAGATTAATATGAAGATTAATTTTTTTGTTTTTTTTTAAATTTTTTAAGTGTGTTGTTAAATGTAATGACTAAATTGATGTTATAAAATAAATAATTAACATTGTAAAGCATCGACGCAAGTAGAAATAGTGGAACAGTGTAATAGAAACAACACTAAATTGAACGTGAAAAGACTACTGAAATTATAAGAATAAAACAAAAAGCAAATTAGAAGTAACAAGCTAAAATTAAGATGTAGAGATATAAACGTACAACTTCAGCAACAATGAATAACAATAGTTGTGTGACTTCTGGTAGCTAGTGTCTGGTTTGGTGTAGAATTTTAACGAGTAGAGAGTTTCGAGTGTGGTGTTTGGGTACAAAAAGTCGTTCTCGAAAATGTAAAATTTCTTAATATTTATAGGCAATGCTCCTCAACTACTTTCTTTCTTTCGTGAACACTTTCCGATAATTGCCTTTTGTACGTGTTTTTTTAATGCATGTTGTCCACAACCGTTTCTTCGTACTGTATCTATAACCTTTGACCTTCAACTAGTGTTAATTATTGATAATCGCTCCTTTGATAATGGCTTCAAACTTGATGGTATTCGTCATGTTTCCTCCCCTCTTGGTCTCCCTTTTGTGTCTTAGCCTTAGGATAAATTTTTTATGTTTTGACGATTCTGAGGAAGCCTGTCAAAAAACTTTCATAGACTCAAAATAATTTTCTTTATCATTTTATGTTTTTGACTAGTTTTGAGGGAAATCTGTGAGTTCATCTTCATCTTGTAGACTTAGAATAATTTCTCTGTTCGTTCATATTTTTTGACCATTTTTTGCTACTTTCAATCTAGGGTCTTGAAAATCTTCAAGAAACTCCTTGAAAAGCCACCCTTTTCTTGACAAAAAATGAGCATATTCATATCCTATCAAAACTGCTCGAAATATGACCTTCTTTATGAGGCTTTCTTTATGATCCTTCAAATCTTCTTGAAATGAACCCTTCTATTTGACAAAGAATGAGACTCTTATAATCCTTCAAAACATATCGAAAGGTAGCCTTCAGAATAAGGCTCTTCTATTAGTCTTTATAGAAATGAGTCAAAAAAGTAATTCTTTTGATACGTTTTGAACTTAGATTTTTATAGTCTCTTAGTTTATCATGTTAGATTATTTTAATAATCTTATTATAGTGGTCTATGTAACTTATAGCATAATTCTAATTAATGATTTAATGTGATGGTAGTTAAATATAAAATATAAAGTCATTAAGGGTATAATTGTAAATACAATTATAAGAAAATATTTCCCTCTCCCTTCATATAAATTAAAGAGCGGTTAACAAATGAAGGTTAGGACATTCCTTATTTTTCACTTTCACTGAGTGAGTGAGCTTACGATAAACGCAAGAAAGAAATATTCTCTCAACCATCCGAAAGGAGCTGAAAGAGGAAGGAAGAATTGGAAAAAATATCAAGGAATCAACGACATCAAAGAGAGAGGTAACATCAAGGAACAATGGATTCAGTGCTCTTTAAACCCTTAATTATATGAGAACCATATATTGTGTTGTGAGAGTAACGTAATTCAAGATCTTAATACAGAAGAGGTAATTTCATAATAATCATTGCATAATGGAAATTACATAATAGATTAAAGAAAATTTTATAATAATCAGTTATATTTGTGTCACTGAACTTCAAGGCGTATTTCTACTTGAGAAAGCATAATTTATTTCCTCCAATTAAAAGTTTGGTAGGAAATTTTGTAACTTAAAAAATTTTACTTTTCTCAAACACTTACAAAGTGGTGCTTTTACAAAAATAAAAAAAATACTACCACAATCTAGTCAATAAAAATTTGGTTAGAATATAGGTATGGATTGTGAGATAACATACCAGTGACAAGAAACTATTTAGTATAAAAATGTGCTCATGTGTGATGGTTGGAACTTTAGGATTATAGTCGAATATGAGACAATATAAGATATATGATCGTGATGGGTGATAAGTCCTGTTAAGAGGAACATTCTCCCGAGTGAGAGTAATGTAAAGATTTGATGAGGTCAAGTATTTGAACTCAAATTCATATAGATTAACAAAGAAAAATATGTATAAAATATTTAAATTAAAAAATTATAAAATGTAATTAAAAAGTTTTCTTATTTTTTTTCGGAACCAAAAATGGAGTTTTTGACTTTTATTAATTTTTTATAAGTTCTTATTTTTATGGTCAAGAATATACTCCGATAACTTTTTGTCACGACTATTTTTAGTGTTCTTCTGAAAACGAAATGATTTACTCGAAGATTAGATCATCATGGCTCTCTAATTCGAGTAGGATGTAAATATTCGAACCTAAACTCTTCTCTGCAAGTTTTTGGTTCCAAAATGTGTTACACTTATATATCTATTAAGAAAAAACGTATAGAAGTTTTTCAATATATTTTAGATGTACATAATCGACAGCCAGAGAATACTAAATAATAATGAGCTTAGTTATGTGGTGTTTGACTAATACTAAATTTAACTTAAAAACTCTTGTTCTACTCTCCCAAGCAACTTCGACGTTGGCATTATTTTGAGAATAAATAAAGTGGGAAAATGAACAATTAATTAGGCCCACGTAGAAATATAATATGACAATTAAGACTTCAATTCATACGATCATGTCTGAGATAGAATAGATTTTCTCATTGGTTTTATTTGGCCATAATTTTTATGCACGTAGCTTTAATAAGAATATATGCCAATTTGTATGGTTAGTCGATTTCAGCATGATTTAGACCCTTAAGTTATTGAAAAGCTAGCAGAATATTTTAATTGATTTGAAAATGATTTGGCGAGGGTATGTTTACGTTCACGGCTCCTTAAATCAATATGGTATCAAAATTCCTAAATGACAATCCAATAACTTTTCAGAAGAGTCTCACAGACATAATTAATTACTTGTCACCTAAAAAAATATTGAGCAAGGCTAAACCTTAATCATAGTTAAAGTGTGTTTACATAAATGGCTTAATTAAATATATAAATTTAAATAAATAGTACATGTAGTAGGTCTTTCTAATAATTTATAGATTTATAAAATTCTGGTAAAATAGTATCATTTAGAAAATAAAGTTGAGGAGGAGAAAGTGTAAAACCAATACCGACAGAAAGTTACGAGTAGGAAACGGCAGGGAGCGTTGGGTTTCCGTACAAATGAACTGTTGCTTCTTTGAAGAAAACAAGTGTGCTGTGCTCTAAAATCAATTCATTTTATTTGTTCCCCGTTAAGGGATAGAACTGAGAGGGTTACTTGTGTACTTTCACCAAAACAAAAACTGGCACTGATAAAGTTCCTTTGCCTTGGGTCAGGTCACCTCCAGCTGTAGCCAATGACATAAGCTGACTTCACATCAGCTTACAATTTAACAAGAAATGCCATATCTTCTACCATAGCCCTCCTTCTAAAGTATTTTTACGTTTCAAAAAACCATCTCTTTTTGACAACTTTATTCTTTCTTTGGGATAAAATTCAACTCAAATAAAATCAACTTTAATAAAAATATATTTTTGATTAATATGGTCTTAGAAAATTCATTTATTTTTTCTTTCGTTTAATGGAAGGAAAGGACAGAGCAGTGTTTTGTTTGGATAAAGCGATTCCTCCAATCTAATTGTAACCACAGGAGAGAGGGAGAGAGAGGTGGAGCAGAACTAGGCTTGTTATTAGCAGCAGTTTTGTCCATGAACTCAACAGTTTTCGCACAAACCAAAATACTAAATGACTTAAACCATAGTTAATATAACGTCAAAGTAAAAGAAAGGTTGAGTCTGGTTTACGCCAAATGTGTCGTCTTATTCTTCCCCTTCCTGTCAGACCCATTACTATAAAAGAAGCCACACTGCACCCTTCTCCATGCCCTTTTGCTTTCTTTATCCAATAATAATAATAACCCCCTTTTCCATCTTTCTTTCTTTCTTGTTGCCCTCTAATTTTCTTTTCTTTTTCCTTTTCCTTTTCCTTCTTGTTGAGCTCCTTTGTTTATACTTTATTCTTCCCCTCCGCTTTAATGGACTTATAAGAAGTTCCCACGAGTGGTTCGAATTGTCACCCAACTGGATACACACATATATAAATTTAAATTTAAATATAGAGAGAAAAGAAGAAGAGGGTGTGTTGTGGTGGGTATGGAGAAGGTGAATTTGGTGAAGAATGGGGAGCTGAGATTGCCCCCTGGGTTCCGCTTCCATCCGACTGATGAGGAATTGGTTGTGCAATACTTGAAGAGAAAGGTCTTCTCTTTCCCTTTGCCGGCCTCTATAATTCCTGAGGTTGATGTTTGCAAGTCTGATCCTTGGGATTTGCCAGGTTTGTTTCTATTTTATTAGCTCTTCGTTATGACAAGTAAGGTAACTAAATAGTTAATAACATAAGCAAATGGCAATATGGTTTGGGTTCAGGTGACTTGGAGCAAGAGAGATACTTCTTCAGCACCAAAGAGGCCAAATATCCTAATGGGAACCGATCCAACAGAGCCACAAATTCAGGGTATTGGAAGGCAACTGGGTTGGACAAACAAATTATAACTTCAAAAGGGAACCACGTTGTGGGGATGAAGAAGACTCTTGTTTTCTACAGAGGCAAACCTCCTCATGGATCAAGAACTGATTGGATCATGCACGAATATCGCCTCCTTAGTTCCTCTCAGTCTCAGGTCAGTAATTCAACTTCAATCAACACAAACAACATTTATTTATCTTCACACACGCATTCATTGAATCTTTCTTTGTCTTTATTATTGTTGATTTTCCAGAGCTCCATGGAAAATTGGGTTCTGTGTCGCATATTTTTGAAGAGGAGAAGTGGTGCTAAGAATGGCGAGGACAGTCTCGATAACATGAGTAGCCGCAAGGTGAGGAACTCTCGAGTGGTTTTCTATGATTTTTTGGCACAGAACAAGACTGATTCCTCATCCTCGGCCACCAGTGGAATCACGCATGAATCAGATGAACATGAAGAGAGCAGTAGCTCCAACAGCTTCCCTTATTTTAGAAGAAAACCTTAGCAATTATGCTTTCCCCTTTTGTAGTTGTTATTTTACTAGCACCTGCACTTCCTTTTCCTATGGGAATGGTCATCCATCTCTAAACAAATCAAGCTTTGGGTCTTTCTCTTATGTTCTGTCCTTCGCTGTAATTATCGTCACTTGTTCAAAGCAAGTATCCCAAATGAGATCGGCATTAAGGGTAGTCAGAAGAGTATGCTACTAATACTACTGTCTAATGTCATGTAATGCAATTCTTATTTTTCCTTCAATTTCCCTCACAATTCCACCTTTTTCTAGATACTAGTATTGCCCATCATCACCATGCAATCGTTCTTTTGCCTAAAAGCTACTGTTTTTCGGTTTCAAGGAGATGCTTTGACAGAGCAAAAGTGGGGGGAAAAGAGAAAGGATACATGGAAAAAAGCATGACAAAAGAGGATCAAAATATGGTTCTGTACAATCTAATAATATATTCTCCAAAAATAAAACAACATTTTTTAGGAGAACATACAGAGAAAATAAGAACCTAATCTTTGGAAGATCAGCATCACACTAGTTACTTGCTCTTTCAAAAAAAAATAAAAAAATGAAGAACCCAGCTCTTCAACGTTGAATTTTAACGTATCAAAATCTCCAGAACTTTTTTGGGGAGGGGGGATATGCAAGAATTGTTATTTATATATCTTAATCAATTACAACTTGGTAAGAAAAACACCTATGAGAAAAGCCTACAACTCCGAAAACATAATTTTGTTTTTCTTTTAAAGGTATGCAGACACTAAGGGCATATTTTCCTAACATCTTTTGGAATTTTCATACTATTTTTGACTAATTATCAGTAGACAGCAGTAGGCGGAGAAATAGATGGGGGTATGTTGGTCGAGGGAAACATGGTTAATGAAATTGAGACTAACCTGTTTACAAGTGCAATGATATATATAAAATGTTTTATCTATAAAAAAGGTACATATAATTTTAACAATTAATTTTATTTTCAAATTTATACAGATTACCATATTAATTTTTACAAACCTAAATTCAATTGCCACATCTTTTTCACAGGGAACCATATTTTGCTAAGGAACCCTTCAGCTTGTTCTAGAAATTGATTAATGACCCCATCTCAGACTTTCATGAAGTACTATGATGTTTTTCCACCTTCTCAAGTATGCGTATCTTATCCATATCTCCTTTCTTCTTCTAATTCTTAATAAATCCGCTAGTTGATTTTTTCAATTTTCCGAAACACCAATATTGACTTTATTAAACGTATGATAGTTGCTTGTCTAACATATCACACTTACTTCTACTCAATCATTCACAATTGCTTTTCTTTGTCAGGTCAGGTAACAAGAACATATATACGGAATCGAAATTGAGTTAATCAAACATTGAGCAATATTAAAATTTCAAAACAAGTGATCAAGCACTTTCGACACAATGACTTTTATTTATTTATTTTTTAATTGTCGAGGTTTATCTATATCCTTCTGTACACGATGTATTAAGACTTTTCTTCTCCACAAGTATTTTAACACAATTCTGAAGGAGAGAAAACATGAAAGCAACATTTCCTTCTATGTAAAATTGTCTGCCATAAGCATACAACAAATGTCGTACACTATAACTGGCCAGCTTAGAGTTGACCAGGCCTTGCACAGTACAACTCAAACCAACTGATCCAATTTACACTTTTTCGGAAAAAAAATTATTTAAAGGAAAAATTAAGCGATTTGCAGATTCAAATAGTTTAAAGTTATCATCATCTCTGATTAAAAAATGTATAGACCTCATAAAATAATAACGTTTGTCTCTCCATTATATGCATCGATAATAATTTAATAAAATTTAAACAGTAAAAGACATCAGTTTATGGGCCATTTACAGTATGTAAGACCGAAAATAAACTACAGCGAAGAGTACATACAAACCCTGCCTAGCGGATTCAGAGAAAATAAGGGCTGACATATATAAATAAAAAACTTAATTTAAATAGCGTAAAGGTTTTTTTATACTATTATTAAACTATAAATTGTTATATTAGCAAGAATTATTGATTTTTGTAATAATTAATATAAAAATAATATTCCCAGTATATTTTAATTGATTAATAGTTACACTTAAAGTACATATATAAGGTGATTTTTTTTACTAGATATTCTTATAAGCATAATTGTAAAATTAACTTTATAATAATATTACTTTTCTTCTTATTTATCTATCTAAAGAAAAAAATTACACACTAAAAAATTTAATTATTTTATTAAAATTAATTACTAATTTTCTTAATATACTCTTTAATAATAATGTTCTATATGACTATTGAACTACTTAAATAATATAAATATTTTATATGCACAATATTAATAAACCAATAACATATTGCCTTAAACTTTTTCACTAGTGAATAAAGACGAATAAAATTATTCTCTAAACATGTAAATAAAAACAAAAGTGATGGTAAAAATAATGTTACTACAGTAACTATTCTAAAATTTAAACTTCTCACATTATATATGTAAATTTTGTACAAAGTCACGTTTTACTTTCACATTAATCAAGTGTGTTTAGAGACACACTAGAAGATTTACATAAATTATAACTAATGGTATTCAAATAAACATAAATCTATCAACATTTAAATGTAAATTCAAACTTGCTCTAAGTAAGAAAAAGATTATATATTTATTCCTTTATTTTAAAATTTATACCATTTTATCTCAGTTCTAATAGCTAAAATTGTTAGCTCTATTTGAACATTAAAAATTGTAAAAATCTTAAGGATTGTTTATATATTCATCAAACCCTTATTTTCTTAGAATAAAAAAATCTCCTCTCAATAGACTTTTGTTGAAAATTAGTTTTGCATCTCTAAAAATGTGTAAATTTAGTTCTTAAATATAAATAAAAATAATCACTTAATCTATCATTCATTCAATTTTTAAAAGTATAGATATTGTTATTATTTTTACCATCATTATCATAACTATCATTACTATTAATGCTACTACTATAAATGTGATCACTAACACTTTCATTATTGTATTATGCTTTATATTTATTGTAATTATCATTGTTACTATTATTATTATTACTGTAATCACATCTATGATAATTCAATAATTATCACTATTGTTTACATTATGACAACACTTGACACTATTATCTTTATCATTGATATAATTAACATCAATTATTTAATCACTACAGTTATATCGAGTTACATAATTATTATATATTTTATTATTATTATTAACATTATCATTACCACTCCTATTACTATTATTACCATAATCATTATCACTAAAATTACAATTAATATTGTTTTCACTATCATCGTTGTTATTGTCTTCACTACACCATTATTATTATCACTGTTATTTATGCTACTATTATCACCGTAAACTTTATTACATTATTGTGATCCATTCTACTATTATAACTTTTTTGAAGAATAATTTATATTTTTCATAATATTCTTATACATAAAATAATTTTTTATATCAAATATAAGAGTGGATAAGAATTTATCATACTCACATGTTTTCTTTTGTCTCAATGGCTTGTCTTGTCCATTTTGGACCACGAACCAAGCCCTATATTCTTTATATTCAAAATTCATTATTATATTAAAAAAAATATTGTCGAATGAAATCTTTGCATTGGATGGTTAACCATATTTTAAAAAAAAACTAAACCCTTTGCTTATTAACCGATGATTCTTTAATAAAAAAAATACTTAAAAACATTTAAAAACCTTTCTTACTAACTCTACTGAAGAAAAAGGGTAATATTATAAACATACTATAAAAAAACTTACCAAGTCACGGACTTAAACTTTTAACATCCATAAAATTGAGTAAGGCTCACTAAATTTTAATCAATATAAAAAATAATATACTATTAACATTCTTGATATAAAAGAATATGACACACTTTAGATTGTTTGAAATGAGATTTTTAGAGTGTAAAGAAAGGGGTAATTTTTTTAATTTTAAATTAAAAAATTACTTATTATTTATTATAACTACATAATTAATACATTAAATTTATGCTAATATATCATTTCATATCTTTTATTTTAAAATATATAATTTTTCTCCCTCTTTCTTTCCTTCCAAAATCTGTGTTCCAAACAACTCCTTACATATCTCAAAATCACTTTGTCAAATAAACTTAATTACAATTGAGAAAAAGTTAAGCATAAGAATTTAATTAGATCAATTATAATATAATGGAAATTAAAATTAGAGATCAAAAGATGAATTACAAAAACAAGGAGAGACAAAATTGCAATAAATCAAAATTTTTAAAAGATTAATTGCCGACCAGAGTTTCTTGTGACAGTGGCTTAGAATCATCTAATAAGGCTGTTAGAGTTCTTCACGTCACCTTTTCTATTAAGTTTCACACTTTCACGATGGAAATAAAGGATGAGAGAGAAAGTTGTATGAATTGCTGACTTCGAGCAACACTTTTGTCAATCACGTGGGCAGCCTATCATGGTAGACCACACATGACCAACTCACTTTGAGCTAAACTAGGTAGGCTCACCTGATTAGGTCAATCAGATAAAGAAGGTAACAGGCCTTGCTCTTCCATCTTTTTATTATTTTTTTCTTCCTAAAAATTGCCTTGCGAAAAAGGAGTGTGTAATCATCCATCAATTTTGACTAGTTCCAAAACCAACAACCTTTTAATGTTGTTTGCTTGAACGAAGTTTAGTTTATATGGGTTGCTTAGTATCGCTGCAACAAAGACTTGTCATTTTTTCCCTTTCTTTCTCATTCATATGATACAAAACTAATGAAATGAATCTAATTACGTGGGCCCCAAAAGAAATCGAAAGGCTCGAGCCTTTGGCAGTCTTCTTCCATGATGTATGAAAGACAATTTGAATTTCATCACCTCTTCTAGTTGAGGGGCCACAACTAACGAGTCCCACAAGTCCACAACACAAAGCCCAATACAGGGCTTCACTCCTTTAGATACAAATATTGGGTTTTGATCAAAAAGAAAACTAAGATTGGAGGGAGGCCCTCGCCGCTTCTCATGTTTTCTTTCACAATCTTAAAAAAAAAATATTAATCTACATCCTGAATGTACAATACAACAACTAAAACTACAAAGGTCTTAGCTAGGTCAGTTTCATGGATCATAAGATGTCATTGGTCATAAAACTTCAACCAGTTTTAGGACAAAAAAAGTAAACCAAACGTAAAATAAAACGACTAGACTAAACCAGACATCCCAAATTTCCAAAATCTTCAATTACAGTGATAATATTCAAATTTTAGGATATGTTTGGCTAAACAGCTTATGCACTTAATAATCATTTTCATTCATGTTTGATTCTGGTGCTTAAGGAAATAAGCCCAATGAAACTTATTGAAACAGGTTTAAATTATATTTTAGAAAGGTCATAAACCATGTTGATATGCCCAAATAAGCTCTTTCAAACATTCCCTAAAGCATACTTAAAACCAAAAGAAACCACAGCAATTAATTCGTATGGATGCCCCAGAAATCATATTAACCTCAACTTGGAACAAGTATGTACCTAGATTCATGAAGTAGGCAAGAGACATGTACAGCAAGCAAGATAATAGCTGTCACGGGATATCTTCAAACATCATTGATATTACTCATGCTTTTCATGTAGCTCAACCTCTAAAAGTTGTCATGGAGTAACATTTTTGGTGGTCATGCACCAAAAAAGGTTATAAATCTATTTTTTTTTTCTTAATGGAAAAGAAAGTGTAAAAACAGTGGCTAATTAAAGAATCCTGCTAAAATTTGACAACGACTAAATCAGATGGGGCTAATGTGGTTGAAGATGCCCTTCAACTTAACAACTCTAGGCAACATCGTGACAAGCATTGTTGGCAGTTGCAGAAGAAGTTACTGAAGGAGATGGTTCAGAACATGCCTTTAGGACAGCTTCATTCTTCCAAGAGACATGCCATAACATAACATTAGTCATTGGAAAGGGAAGAAAGTCCCAATTAATTATCTTTGTTTAGGAACAAAGAAGATATGAACATCATAGATGAAATGAAACAAAATAGGGATGCAGCTGGTGAAACAGATCACGTGATGAAGGAACAAATTAACATCTCTAGACATTTTCTCCAGTTATGATAAGCCGATTTAATCAATTAAACCCGACATGACACACACATACTAGAGAATATGAATCTGAATGAGAAGTAAAATATTATAGCACATCTTTGGCAGTGGAAAGTGGATTTGGAATGTACCTGCCAAACGCGGAGGAGACGCTTCTTAGCATTGGCTTTGCGAGTAGAGGTGAGCTTGATTCTCTTCCAAACGAGTCCTCCAGAATCATGCTTCTTCACAATCTGCATCACCCGCGTTCCCCAAAATGCACCCACACCACCCATCTAATCTGATTTTGATTACAATTTGCAAACACAATCAATCAATAAGATTCAATAAACAAAACAAACATCACTCACCAATTTTCTTACTTCTTACTGCTCCGCTTGCCCTTCCCTACTTGCAACCCTCCTCTCCTCCTCTCGCTGGGGTTTTGATTCCAGCCTTCGCTTTCTCCTTTTAAATTTTTCCGCTTTGGGCTCAACCTACCCATTTGGGCTTTCAATTCTGTTGAAAAAAAAAAATCTTTTCAATCCTTATAATTTTAAAGATTTTAAACTTTAATTTTTTAGTTTTTGAATTATCTAAATTTAATATTTTTTGCCTCTATTAATAATATGATTAAATAAAAATTAGTACATGTCAAATTTTATGTCATGTATTAAGTTTTTATAGAACCGTGTCAATGACAAAAACTAAAACTACTAAATAAAAAAATAGTGACTAAAATAAAATAAATATTTTACAAAAACATAAAAATAAAAATATATTTAATTAAAAATATTAATATAAAATGTCATAATGTGAATATTTTTAAATTTAATTTATTTAAAAATATTTATTATCTATAATAAAAAAATTAAATTATCATATATATATATATATATATATAATTCAAACATTTTAAATTTTAATATTTTAAAAAGAAATAATGACATGTTTTAATTTAAATTTAAAATAGGAGATTTTCCTTTTTGTTATTCTATTATTTTTTTAGTCAAAATTTCAAAATGACTTTTATTGGGGTAAGATTTTCTCAAGGTTGATTAATGATATTATACTGTTGTAGTGTTATATAAATTAGACTTTTTTTTTTCCTGTTATTTTTTAGTCTGAAAATTAGTAAAGATTATGGTTTAAAATGTAATTGACAAGTTAAATTTTGATATTTGTTTTAGACTTGATTCTATAAATTTTTCTAGAAGCATGTGGTATTTTAGAGTTAATTCTATAGTATCCTCTATTTATGTTGTCCGTTTAAGAATTTTAATAGTTTTAATAATCCTTGGGACCTTTTTGTGCTATATTTTAATTTAGGAGAAGGTCTAAATATTTTCTTGAGATGAGTTTAAAAATATTATTTATGATATTAATTCTTCTTAGGATTTAAAGGAATACCTTATTCTTGGTATAGAGGAAATTTGAAGGAAATAAAAGATAAAGCTATCATAAATGAATTGTGGATAAACTTTTTTTTTTTTAAACTCTTTCTTAATATATGTTGACTTTATTAAATCTAATAATGTTACTCTTTGATTGAAAATTAAATCTTAACTATCTACAATAAATAAATGATTCTTGCAAATTGATGACCTTTGGATTAGTTATTATGTTTTTTTTTATCAGGTTAAGTCTTTATAGAATTTAAAAAATAAATGGTAAAATAACATGAACAAATTTAGAAAAATATTTTTTATTTGGAAAAACTATTTTTTTTAGTTTTTTTAGAAAAGAAAAATCTTTAATAGAATTGCTAGAATTCATAGAAAGCTTAATGATAAAGAAAATCAAATTTTTTGTCTTAATTGGTAAAATCTTTTTAGGAGAAACATGAAAACATTATAGATCAAGAAGAATCATTTTGATTTCATCAATACAGGGTTAGATGGATTAGCTTAGGTGGTAGAAATGTTTTTTTTTTTTTATTTCACAAAGCTACTTTAATTCATAAGAAAAAAATAAAATAGAAATTCTTAAGGATGGTAATAATATTTGAATTTATGATATTGGTGTTTTGAAAATTATGGTAAATGATTAATATTTTAATCTATGTTACGAATTTGAGTTTGTTAGGGAGAAATTAGATAATATAATTTTTTTTCTAACTTAAATATTAGTGTGGGCGAGGATTATCAAGAGAGGTGGATATTAAGGAGGTTAAGACTGTAATACCTTATTTTGTAGTTTTTGTTGTTATTATTATTGTTGTTGTTGTTGTTATATTTTATGTTATTTATTTGTGCATGTTGATTGAAATTAGAAGATTTTAAGTGGTGTAAACTATAAGATATCTTATTGTAACGAGAAATATAATCCAGAATTAGGCTTTCTAGAGCGCTCTCATTGTAGCGAAAGAGTCTCACTGTAGCGAGAAAGATAAAGATGACCTAACAATCCTCTTATTGTAGTCAGGATTCTTGCTGCAACGAAGATTCTTGTTGTAGCCAGACTGATAGATAACAGGAAAAAAATGTTGTCTAATTTTTTGCTGTAGCAAGAGACAGCTTGATGTAGTGTGAATGTCGCGAGTTGAGGAGTATTTAAGGTTTTTAACCTATAAAACTTATATCACAATCCTAGCAAGTTACAAACTTCTCTCCATTCTCTTTGATCTCTCACTTTCTTCTCTCATAAAATCTCCATTAAATGAGAGGAAGTATATTATGAATAAAGGTGGTGAAATGAACTAGTGTGAATAGTTGCAGAGATACATTAGAGGTATAAAGTTCGTAGACAATTTTAGAAATATGGTATAAATGTAGGATGATAAACGACATTCACGTATGTGTACATGATAAATGCTTTCTATACTTGATTCTACATTGTAATTCATGAATGATAATTGAGAGTTTTAAGCTATTCATTGAGAAAATTTACTATTATTAATTTTATTTTATTCATATTTTAGGAAAAAAGATCAAGAAGTGAAAGCCTTAAAGATGTCAAGAATTAAAGAAAAAGAAACCAGAGATATACACGGGCAAGTACATGCCCGTGTATATGAGCGTGTATCTTACTGGTCGCGTCAATTGAAGTGTATCATCAAGACCAGAGATGTACACGGCCAGATACATGGCCGTGTACTTTTATGGAAAGCTTTGAAAGACGTCTATTAGAAAACAGAGATGTACACGGCCAAGTACATGGCCGTGTACTTGGGCGTGTACTTTTACGCGCGTCAGAAATTTAACTTTTGCGAGAAAATTAACCTTAGGATAATTTCTATAAAAGGAGAACTGAACTCAGAGACGGAAGAGGAAGAGGTTTTTGGAGACGAAAGACTCAAAGACGGCAAGAGGATGGGATTAAGCATTTTATTTCATCTCTTTTGTAATTTTAATTTGAAGATGTTTAGGTTCTAATTTTCCTTTGAGTATCTAGACGTAATGAATCCTAATTGACTAAATTTTCTGGAATTCTTCTAATGCTATTTCATGTTCTTTACTCTTGGGTTTAATTGAGTAGTATCAATTTTCTCTATCTTGTTTTCTTGTTTGAATTTGAGTAAAATTCCTGCATGAAATTAACATTGCTCAATTAAAAAGACTTGAATGTATTTCTAGAGATAGAAAGACGTGAGTTTTCTGTATTAGGATTAACCCTAATTATGGAATTCATAATGAACTTAATGCAACCTAGGGGTATTAATTAAGGAAGAGATTCCGATTAATCAACTGAGGGTTAGGAATCATTATCCTTGAGAAAGGTATTGATTTAATTTGGAATTTCCTATAGCGATAAGGGTTTGGAACTAAGTAGTTGAAGAAGAATTTCAGTTATTTGGACACTTAGGGGGATTTACAGTCTAGATACTTGCCTTTTTACATTGAATACCTATATTCATAATTTTCTATAATTTATTTTCACTAGAATATCTGTTCCTTTTAATTTATTATTCTTTTACTTTTAGCAATTTCATCAACAAGGTTTATTTTTCATATTTATTAACAATTACGCAATTAAGGAAAAGTTTCTTAATAACAGTCCCTGTGGATACGACACTTGATACTTTAATTTTAATTTTAATAATATTACTTCGACAACGGGTACACTTGCCCAGTGATCAGATTTTTACACATCAATACACACTTTATCTGAGAGCGAATGTGTCATATGACCTTACACTTAGACTTCTGACTATACCTTTGCTAAGAAGTTCGTTATTGTACATGTTTTATCCGTGTACATGTATTAATCAGCGACTATTTATCTATCTGTGTAAGACTTTAAAAAATATTGGAGACAATGAATATTTGTGATCATAGTACACGACAAAATGCGTATTTGAGAGAGAATTGTAATGATTTGTGTTAGAGTGTGTATGATTTGTGGGAATTGCTAATATAGTTGTTTCTGTAATTGTCATGGCAAGACTTTCTTTTAATTTGTGATTAAAGTTTATGTTGTAATATTTAATAATGAAATTATATTATATTTAATGGTGAAAAAAATATTCATACTTACTAAACATTTCAGAGAGTACGGATGACTGAATCTCAAGGAGTAATTAGATAAGTAAACTACCTTATAAATTATAGGTTAAACTATGTATTTAGGAAGTATCAACGTATATGTTATTTTAAATTTACTGTAGAATATAATAATGAAGTAAGAGACATTTGTATTTTAGAAATGACATTGGACTACAATGTTTCCTTTGATTACCACGTAAGTAATTGGATTTGCCACACTCTTAGTCTCTATATCTATTGAGAGATTGTTAGCACTTTAATGGTTGTAGAGTATTTTTCTTGATAATGACTTCCTTGTAAGACCAACTCAGTTTACCTTTGAGCGAGTAACAGACATTGAAATTGTGCTTAATTTTGAAAATCTTGGAGAGGATGAGGACCTGACTCCAGAGGAGCTGGCTAAGATAGAAAGTTGGCACAATGATGATGAATAGGACCGAGTTCTCATTGTTTTGGGTGTAGATAGGGACTACTCTTAGGACTTAGTTTATTTGTGATATTGTAATTATGTAATCTAAGTCCTAATGTATTTTGATAATAGTATATAAATATTAAACTTTCATATGTAAATCAAAATTAAGTACATGTATATTTCTCTAATGTTTTAGCATAATGTAATTATTAAGGTACAATTTATCTTTTATCTTTCTAATACCTCCATAAACTTTTGTGAATGGACTTATTTATAAAAAAGTTTTTAATTTATCGCATTTTCATACTACTTGTCTTATGAAAAATTCATTTTAATTACTCTATCATGTCATGAATTTTGATACAATCCCAAATAAGAAAATAAAGATGTTACAAAGACAAACTTTATTCAATATAGAAAATTATAAATCTCCAAATTTAGATGGTTTTCCTTAAATCAACATATGAGTTAATCAATAAAACTAATGACAACGTGGCTTGCTAGGAAGATATTTTCAAATTGATTTGAAATTAGCCAGATTGTAAAAAAAAAAAGAGAGATTTTTTTGTTTAAAAAA